GCGAAATCCCTCTACAACAGAGTTCCCAGCTCTGGCTGCAAACTAAGCAAAGAAGGCAGGAATTTAACCAAGAACCCCTCAAGATAATAACAACAGCCAAAAACATGTTCCAGGTATTCTTGTAAGTATTAATACTTTAAATGTGTTTTCATCCTAATGATGAAGGAACTATCATTACCTGCTTTACAGATTAAAAAACTGGGCCAGGGAGCAGTTAAGTAACTTGGTCAAGGTCATAGGCCAGTTAGGGATGGAGCCAGGCCCCGGCTTCAGTCACTGTGGCTCCAGGCTGAGCCGGGAATGGCCAACCCTGCAGCCCCATGGATTCGCAACACCGGCTGTCTGGGAAGTGAGCGCAGACGGGAGGTGGCCTCAGTTAAGAGGCTTGTTTGGAAGTCTGTTTAACCACTTCGTGTGTCGCTCACCGGCCGGACACCTCGCCCACAGCTGCACTCACAGTCCGCGCGGTGGTCTGTGCGGAGCCTGGGGACGGGTCCGGTTTGCTCCTGTGTGATGAGGAAGGCTTGAAAGCACTGAAAGCTTGTTTCACTTTACAGGCAGCTTTACTTGTCATGTAAATCAGAACAGGTAACATATACACATATGTTTTCATTATGTTATGTTTAAATGTTCACAATTTCATTTTGATAAATGAAAAATTAGAAAAGTCATATCGCAGCTGTCAGCTCAAGTCGACGCTGGGCTGTGCGCTTTCATCTGTGACTGTCGACTGTAGTCGATGCTCGTACCGAAGTGGTTAAAAAGCCATTTGGTCGCCAGGGCCCCTTCCTCTCTACACATCCAGGCTGTAGCCTTTTGCCCACCTGGCAGAAGACAGGATATTTTTGTTCTGGAGAAAGTAGGATGAAGATGTTAATACTGGGAGATACCAGGAAGAGGGAAGGGTGAGGCCACCTCAGGAAAACAGGGGGTAGCAGGTCCTTACAACAAGCACATGCTCCTGCCCACTTGCACACACTCCTTCCCAGAATGCTGGTGGCCAGGCCGACTCCTTCCAGTCTGGACAATGTTGGGTCCTTCTCTAGGGACTGACCAGACCTGACAGATCACCATCTGATGGGGCTGACCATTGATGAGTGCCACCCCCATGCATTGCCCAGCAGGAACTGTCTGAGGAAACTCTCCAACGTGAAACACAGTGTTTTGGCCCATTTGTGCTGCTATAACAGAATGCCTGAGACTGGATAATTTATAATGAACAGACATTTATTTGGCTCATGGTTCTAGAGGCTGGGAAGTCCAAGAGTGAGGGACCACATGCACTGGAACACAGTAGAAGGCAGGACACACTGAGAGGGAGCAGGAGATTGAACTCACAGCCTCGGGGCCTTTGATAATCAGCAATAACCTGTTCATGGGGGGGCCTTCAACCTAACACTTCTCATTAGGCCCCACTCCCAACATTGTTGCATCGGGGATTGAGTTTCCTACACATAGTTTCTGAGGGACACATTCACACCATGCATGTAGGGATCAAAACAAAGGGAGGAAAAAGCAACTTGGAGGAAACAGACTATGCAGAGAGAAGAAAACACACAAAAAACACTATTAAAAGAATACCCTCAAAAAGATAAGGTTGGCATCTGTGAAACAAGAAAAGATGACTGAAAAATAAAAGATGGGAGGGAGGAGGGAGGGAAAAGAAAAGAATATTAAAAGAATAAAAGAATCTTTTGAAAATTAAAACTTGACAGAAATAAAAACTTTGTTGCATACAAGGTTGGATGGCAATGTTGAGGAAACCTGGAACAAAGCGAAAATGCAAAGTGGTGGAAAGTGGGAGAGAAAAGGTAAGACATTAGATGACCAGACCAGAAGGTCAATCATGCAGATTACAGGAGCTGCCGGAAGAAAAGAAAAAACAAAGAAAAGAAATAAAAAAGAGGAAAAGGAGGGGAGGAAGTAATCAACGAAACAACACAGTAAAATTCCAGGAACTAAAGTCCAGAACTTTCAGGCAGAGGCGCTCGCAGGTGCCCCGCACACTCAGTGAAGGGCACTTGAGGATCTGGAACAAAGAGACCATGCCTTATGGGAAGGGCCCAGTGGCAAGGAGACGAGGCACAGGCTGTGAGAAGCAGGTCACAGAGGAGCAGGAATTGGAAATGCCGGGAACTAGAACACCCTAGAACAATGCCTGCAGAATTGGAGGGAAATGATTTCTGATCTTCACTTTATATGCAGCCAAGGAGCCAATTATTAAGGGTGAAGGTAGAACAAAGACAGTTGAAGATATTCAAAGTCTCAAAAAAGTATGTACCCCTTTATATGCAGCTGCTGTAAGATGTGCCCCCCATACCCTATAGTGCATATGAGAGGAAGGCATGTGGTCCAGGAAATGGGAGCCAAGCCAAGACAGTGGGGGAGGGGAAGTCCAGGATGGTGACGATGGGGATGTTAAGGTGGCCACTGGGAGAGCAGGCAGAAGGCAGTGAGCAGGATGGCGCTTACAAGAGAGTGAAACTGCCTATCATGAGAGGCATTTAGACTGCTGGTCAGGGCTAGGGGTTACATTAATGATAAGTACAAAAACTACTAAGCAAATAAAGAAGACAATCTTTAAACTCCAAGGAATATAAAGAATTGGGCAGAAAAGGAAAAATAATTGTAGTAAATACCATGTGGCTCAGTTCTGAGTAATATTTGCATAATCAAAATAACATAAACACAGTGCATTAATCTAGCCAAAACAAGCTATAAGCATTTTGGGAAATGTGGGAGTTGGGAAGTACATATGTGGTGAGGCTATAGTGAAATTCTAAGGAATCAATGATTCCAAAGAGTATGGAAGCTCCCTGCTGCTGGGGTATGAGAATGAGGAAAAGAGAGACCAGCAGTTGCTGTTTCTTGTAACATGTCTCGTAGAACTTATGGATGCTTTAGATGATATATGCACAGAACATTAACCCAGGAGTTGGTAGGTGCTAGGTACACACATAACACTAGCCCAGGTGTAGCAATAGAAGCCCCACCAGGGGAAAAATATTATTCTCCCTTAAGGCTCTGATTTTGACAGTTCTTTGTGGACCTGCCAATAGGAACTGGCTGCAAAATGTTTTTCCAGATATCTAAGTAAATTGACCTGTTAAGTGCAATTTCTTCTGATTGCCTGTCTGCATGGTGAGAGTCTTCCAGCAATGACGGCTGGTTCCAGAGCAGCTGATGCTAGTGGTTGGTCAGATGTTTGCCACGTCTGCTGGCAGTATGGAAGTCCCCTCCATCCTCAGGGTAGGGAGAGGATCAATCTTAGCATCTGCTAAGGCAAGAAGCACACAGCTCATTCATTTAAAACTTACCCCCCTGGAAATGCAAAACAGTGCAATCACTTTGGAAAACACTTTGGCAATTTCTTAAAAGGTTGAACATAGACTTATTTATCCACCCAACAATTCCATTCCTGAGAATTCGCCCACAATAAATGAAAAAAATGTGTCCACAAAAGACTTGTGCACAAATGTTCATAGTGTCATTATTCATGATAGCCCAAAAGTGGAAACAACCCAAATGTCCATCACCTGGTGAATGGACTACTACTTAGCAATAAAAAGGAACAAACTATTGATGAATGCTACAATACAGATGAACTTCAAAAACATTATGCTGAAAGAAAGAAGGCCAGACACAACAGTCCACCAGTACAATGCCATTTATATGGAATGTTCATACAAGGCAAATCTATTGAGGCAAAGGGCAGATAAGTGAATTCCTGGAGCTTTGAGGGGGCAGGATCAAAACTTGGTTGCAAAGGGGCACAAGGGTGCCTATTTGCAGTGGTGGAAACATTTTAGAACTGGATTGTGGTAATGGTTGTACAACCCTGTATATTTACTAAAAATTATTGAGTTGTACACTTTGAATAGGTGAATTTTATAGGATGCCTGAAAAAAGTACTTTGAAATATTTTTAAAATAAAAAATAGAAACTAAGATGTCATTTTGTATAAAACCATTTCCATTGTGATTCTCCCAGCGATATCAGGGGTTAGGACTTGAAATCATTTGTTGTTCATATAAGATGTTATATCAAGTCAGCTGCCCTGCACCTTGCTAACAGCACAGTTGTTTGGAGTAGAATGAAATGAGATGGGGAGGAAGAGATACGGAAAAAGAAAGCATTTGCAATTTTAGCAAAAGTGAGAATTATTGACAGTTTTTAAAATGACAGTTTTTAAAATCCTATACTTTGAGGTTCCTTTGAAGAAGTTGTGCCCATCATGTCAAATTTTGCAATAAAAGTTTTCCCTTAGGGCACTCCTCAACACCGAATGTTAGTCCAGGGTGGTGTTGCTGACTCCCATCTGGAGACAGTGTTGGAGTCTACAAGTGTGGAATGATAATCACAAAGGCGTCAAGTTGAGAGAATAATTCACACAATAGCTGACAAAAACTGGTGCCTAATATGAATCTATGATCTAATATAAAAAATCATTTTTGGAATTTTGTTTAATAATTTCTGTGCGAACGTCTCAGAATTGCAGGTTTTACTGATTCTGTTTGGCTTTCCTAGCAGCTTTTATCAAAGCAGAAAAGCACAATATGTTTAAAGAGTCAGGACAGATTTAGAAGGAGTATGACTGCATTTAGCTTTGCCTTAGAACTTCCTTTCAAGGACAGAGAATAACAAGTTGGTAATAATCTGAATTCTATAGTAATTTGTAATGCTATATGTGAATAATATAATAATACATCAGTGACATATAATGATCTGTAATACTATAGTAATCTATAATGCTATATGTAAATAATAATGCATGAGTGATATATAATCATTTGTAATACTATACAGGAATATTTTCCTACCCTGAGCTTACAGGGTACCATTTAATAATATTTAGTTATGATTATAGGTTAGTTTTGCCTTATATTTCCCTCCCTGAATCAGACACTTGCTCTAGGGCTGTGTTTCAGGAGGAAATAGCCTTTCAATCCAAACTTTCCAAATGGGAGTTTAGAACAATAATTACTTGATATTACCTGGCATTCAGACTACCTATAATGGCTGTGTCAGGTGACAGGAGCATAGAACATATAGGTTCGCGTGATTGGCTTGGTATTGTCAGGGTAAGACCCCAGTATCACCATGGCTCACTCACTGTCTCTCACACATTTGTCCCCGGTCAGATGGGGCTTTGTTCCCTACTATGAATTCTTAGCGACTCGGCACACAAAGCAGCCTCTATCTGGGACTTTGTGTACACAGTCACGTGCAGAAGGAAGAGCGTGAGCAGTGTTCATGCAGCCCTTCAAGAAGTGACACGATGCACTGCTGCTCACATTTCAGTGGCCAAAGCAAGTCACATGGCTGTGCTTGAGTTTAGCAGAGTGGAGCTGCACAGTCCTCCTGGGGAAAGGGAGCAATGGGAGTGGTGGCACAGCGTTCCACAGCCACCCTGGGCCACTGACCAGGCTGCACTAGCCTCCCTGCACCTGCAGTGTCTCAACTCTGCCCGACATGCGCGGCCTGCTAACTCGTGTCTCAACACGAGGGGTGGCTGGATGAGTGAATGAATGAATGGATGAAGAAAAGTAAGTACTGAAGTCATATAGTCTGGGGCTTGACTAGAGAAAGGCCCAGAGTCTTTGCCAGGAAGGAATGCCACTTACCATGCTCAAGAGCAGCAGGGCCTGCCCACAGGGCCCCATGACTGAGTGAGAAAGTAAATGTGGAACAGGTAATCGTGAGATCACATGCTATGAAAGGGAAGAACAGGGCTTCTAGGATCACTTGAAGGGACGCCTAAAATATAGACGTGTATAAAGAAGAAAATTAAAACACTGTTAACATTGTCTGCTCTTTCATTCTCTGTCTGTATTTTTCCACATAAATAAAATCATGTTGTTTTATTCCTACCTCTTTTACTTAATGATACTGTCAGTACCTGTCCTTACCAATGGCTATTCTTTTACATAAGCAGAGTTCTTAACCTAGGGTCCATGGAACTTAAATGAGGAGAAAAATGAGCCATAAGTTGTACTTTAGCATGTCAATAAAATATGAATGCAGTCAATAGCCATGGTGGCTAATTATTGCAGTGTAATACTACATATGTTTTAAAATGCAATTTATGTTTCTCACTGTTTGAAATTATAGTAGTAATTTCACTGTTTGTTATTACAGTAGTAATAACTACCACCACTATATCTATACAACTTATAATTAATAAAGAAGCATATATATTAGCATAGGACATATGTGTTTTCAAAACATTGGCAATTGCATTTCAATCTACAGTCAGGCTTCCATGTGCATAGGTTCCACATCTGTGGATTCTACCCACCTGCAGATTGAATATACAGTACTTGAGGGATGCAGAACCCTTGGACATGGAGAGCGAACTCTTTACAGCTATGGGTTTAGTGGGGCACACTGTGGGACTTGAGCATCCACTAATTTTGATATACACAAGGTGGTCCTGGAACCAATCTCCTGTGAATACTGATGGACAACTGTAATTGGTTGTCTTTGTAATTCTATGAATTTTATCTTGTGCATTGAAAAATATTATTCTGTCCAAATATATGCTATCTAAAAGAGACTCCCTTTAGATCTAAGGATGCACATAGGTTGTAAGTGAAAGGAGATATTCCATCCAAATAGTAATCAAAAGAGCAAGTATGGCTATATTAATAGCAGACAAACTTTAAGTCAAAAACCTATTACAAGAGACAAAGAAGGATATTCTATAATGATAAAAGGGTCAATCCACCAAGAAGCTATAATAATTATAAACATAAATGAACCTAACATCAGAACTCCTAACTAAACAAAGCAAACACTCTCAGAATTGAAGGGAGAAATAGACAGCTCTACAACAGTAGGAAACTTCAATACCCTACTTTAAATAAGGGATAGAACTATACAGAAGATTAATAAGGAAAGAAAGGATTTGAACAATGTTACAGACTAAGTGGACCTAACAAATATAGGACACTCCACTCAACAATAAGAGAATACATATTTTTCTCAAGTGCACATGGGACATTCTCCAGGATAAACAATATGTAAGACCACAAAATGACTCAATAAATTTTAAAAGATCAAAATCATATAAAGTATATTTTCTAATTATAATAGAATATAATTAGAAATTAACAGTAGAAGAAAAACTGAAAAATTCACAGATATATAGGACTTAAACAATGCACTTTTAAACAACCAATGGGTCAAAAAAGAAATTGCAAGGGAAATAAGAAAATATCTTAAGACAAATGAAAGTGAAAACACAGCATACTGAAATTTATGAGGTGAAGCAAAAACTAAGAAATTTATAGCTGTAAACGATTATGTTAAAAAAGAAGAAAGGCAATTATGGATGAGAAAGAAATAAAAAGTATCAAAATTGGAAAGAAAGAAGTTAAATTATTCCTGTTTTCAGATGACATAATCTTATATATAGAAAACCCTAAAGATGCCACTAAAAAACAATTAGAATTAATAAACAAATTCAGCAAAATTGCAGGGCACAAAATCAACATACAAAAATCAGTAACATTTCTATACACTAATAACAAACTATCTGAAAAATAAATTAAGAAAATAATTCCATTACAATAGCTACAAAAAATCACTTAGGAATAAATTTTATCAAGAAGGCAAAAGATCTCTACATTGAAAACTAGAAAACATTGATGAACAAATTGAAGAACATGCAAATAAATGAAAAGATATTCCATGCTCATGGGTCGGAAAAATAATAATGTTAAAATGTTCATACTATCCAAATCTTAAAATTCAATGCAATCCCTATCAAAATACCACAGCACGCTTCATGGAAATATAAAAACAATCCTAAAATTTGTATAGAACCACAAAAGACCCCAAATAAGGCAATCTTGAGCAAAAAGAACAAAGCTGGAGGCATCACACTACCTAACTTCAAAATATACTACAAAGCTACAGTAAACAAAACAGTATGGTACTAACATAAAAAAAAGACACAGACAAATGGAACACAATAGATAACGCAGAAATAAATTCATATACAGCCAACAGATTTTTGACAAAGGTATCAAGAACACACAATGGAGAAAGAATAGTCTCTTCAATAAGTGGTGCTGGGAAAACTGGATATCTACATGTAGAAGAATGAAGTGAGACCCCTATCTTTCACCATATTAAAAATCCACTAAAAGTGGACTTAAATGTTAGACCCAAAACAATAAAATTACTGGAAAAAAATAGGGGAAATATTTCATTACATTAGTTCAGGCAAGAATATTTTTGGCTAAGACCTCAAAAGCACAGGCAACAAAAGCAAAAATAAAAAATGGGATTATATCAAACTAAAAAGCTTTTGCACACGAAAAGAAACAATCAACAAAGTGAAAATACAACCTACAGAATGGGAGGAAATATTTGCAAACTATGCATCTGACATGTGGTTAATATCCAGACTTTATGAGGAACTCAGACAACTCAATAGCAAACAAATAATCTGATTTAAAAATGGGCAAAGACCTTAATAGACATTTCTCAAAACAAGAGATACAAATGGCCAAATATGAAAAAATGCTGAACGTCACTAATCATGCAGAAAATGTAAATCAAAGTTACAAAGAGATAATACTTTACTCCAATTAGAATGGCTATTATCAAAAAGACAAAAACAACAACAACAACAAATATTGGTGCAGAAATGGAGAAAGGAGAACTCTTATACAGTGTTGGTGGGAATGTAAATCAGTACAGCCATTATGGAAAACAGTATGGAGTTTCCTCAAAAAATTAAAAATAGAACTACCATATGATTCAGCAATCCAACTACTGGGTACATATCCACAGAAAATGAAATCAGTATGTTGAAGAGATTTCTGTACTCCCATTCCAGCAGCATTCACAATAACCAAGATATGGAACCAATCTGTGTCCATTAACAAATGAATGAATAAAGAAAATGTGGTACATAAACACAAATGAATGCTACTGAGCCATTAAAAGATAGAATCTTGTCATTTGCAGGAACATGGATGAACCTGGAGGACATTATGTTAAGTGAAATAAGCCAGGTACAAAAAGACAATACCACATGATCTCATTCATACGTGGAATCTAAAAAAATTGTTATCATTGAAGGAGAGAGTAGAATAGGGGTTACCAGAGTCTGGGGAGGTTAGGGGGAGAGTTGGATAGGGAGAGTTTGGTCAATGGGTGCCAAGTTGCAGTTAGGAGGAATGAGTTCTGCTATTCCATTGCACAGTAGGGTGGCTGTGGTTAATAATACCAGATTGTATATTTTTAAAATAGCTAGAAGAGAGGATTTGTAATGCTCTCACCACAGCAAAATAATAAATATATGAGGTGATAGATATGCTAATTGCCCTGACCTGATTTTACATGATGTATACATATATCAAAATATCACACTATACCCCATAAAATACACAATGATGATGTGTCAATTAAAAACAAAATTAAAAAACATTATCACAATTTAAAAAAACAACAAAAAAAGATTGTAAATCAACAATCTAATATTTACACCTTAAGGAGCTAGAAAAAGAAGAAAAAACTAAACCCAAAGCTGGCAGAAGAAAAACAAAAATAGAGGACAGAAAAACAATTTTAAAAATCAATAAAACTATGAAATTCATTCTTCAAAAAAATTAACAAAACAGATAAACTTTTAGCTACATTGACTAAGAAAAAAAGGGAAGACTAAAAGTCAGAAATAAAAGAGATTACAACCAAATTTACAGAAATTGAAAGGATATACACCAATTGATGTACAATTACACAACAACAAATTGGACAACCTATATGAAATTGATAAATTCCAACATACAACCTACCTATACTGAATCATAAGGAAATGGAAAATCTAAATCTAAACAGATCCATAATTAGTAATAAGACTGAATCAATAACCAAAGTTCTTCTGAAAAAGAAAGGCCCAGTACCAGATGGTTTCACTGGTGAAGTCTACCAAACATCTAAAAAAGAATTAACACCAATCCTCCTAAAACTGTTTCAAAAAATGAAGAGGAGAGAATACTTTCAAACTCATTCTATAAGGTCAGCATTGCCCTGATACTAAAGCCAAAGACACTACAAGAAAAGGAAACTACAGATAAATATCCCTGACAAATATTGATAGAAAAATCTTCAACAAAATACTAGCAAACAGAAATCAATAGCACTTTAAAGGTTTATACACTATGACCAAACAAGATACATTTCTAGAATGCAGGCATGGCTCAACATATGAAAATCAATTAATGTAACATATCACATTAACAGAATGAGAGGAAAAAAAACCCCTACATGTTCATCTCAATTAATGCATAAAAAGCATTTGACAAAATTCAACATCCTTTCAAGATGAAAAAAGACAAAAAAAAGTCAAAAAATTAAAACTAGAAGGGAACTCTGTCACAAAATAAAGGAAAAAAAACAAATTAGGAACAGAAGGAAACTATATCAATGTAATAAAGACCATATATGAAAAGCCCACACCTAACATCATATTCAATGGTGAAAGTTTCAAAGTTTTTTCTCTAAGATCAGAAACAATATCAGGATGCCTGCTTTCTTCATGTCTATTCAATATAATACTCAAAGTCCTAGCCAGAACAAGTAGGCAAGAAAATAAAAAGGTATACACACAGGAAAGGAAGTAGTAAAATTATCTGTCTGCAGATGACATAATCTTATATGTGGAAAACCTTAAAGATTACACAAACACCACACATAAACCTATTAGAATCAATAAGCAAATTCAGAAAAGTTGCAGTATACAAAATCAACACACAAAAATCAGTTGCATTTCTGTACATTAACAATCAAAAAAAGAAATTAAGAAAATAATTCCATTTACAACAGCGTGAAAAATACTAAAATACTTGGGAGTAAACTTAACTGAGGAGGTAAGAGACTTGTACATTGAACTACAAAGTGTTCCTGAAAGAAATCAAAGAAGACACAAATAAATGGTAAGACTTCTGTGTATATGGACTGAAAGACTTAAGATTGCTAAAATGTCAACACAACCCAATGTAATCTACAGATTTAATGCAATCTCTATCAAATTCAATGGTGTTTCTGTTTTGTTGCAGAAATAGAAAAATCAATCCTAAAATTCAAATGGAATATTAAGAGATCTGATAGCCAAAACACTCTTGAAAAAGAAGAACAAAGTTAGAGATATCACATTTTCTAATTTCAAAATGCATTACAAATCTACAGTAATCAAATCAGTGTGGGACTGGCATGAAGACTGACATATACCAATGAAACAGAATAAAAAGCTTAGAAGTATACCCTCACATATATGGTCAAATGATTTTCAACAAGTGTGCTGAGACCATTCAATGAGGAAAAGATAGTCATTTCAACAAATGGTGCTTGAAAAACTAGATATCTACATGCAAAAGAATGAACTTGGACACTTACCTTAAACCAAATATAGTTTACTGCCATACCAGCCTGAATGCACCTGATCTCGTCTGATCTCAGAAGCTAAGCAGGGTTGGTGCTGGTTAGTACTTGGATGGAAGACCTTAAACCAAATACAAAAATAACTCAAAATTGACCAAATACCCAAACATAAAACCTAAAACTATAAAGCTCTTAGAAGAAAATATAGGAAAAAAACTTCATGGCATTTCATCTGGCAATGATTTCCTGGACATGACACCCAAAGCACAGGTAACATATGAAAAAATAGATAAATTAAAAAGAAATAAATAAAAAAGAAAAAAATAAATAAATTAGACTGTATCTAAATTAGAAACTTTTGTGCATCAAAGGATATAATCAACACAGTAAAAGGACAACCCATGGAATGGGAGAAAATATCTACAAATGATACAGCTGAAAGGGATACTCTTACAACTCTACAACATCAAAAACAACCAACCTGATTTAAAAATGGGGAAAGGACTTGAAAAGACATGTTTCTAAAGGTATACTAATGTCCAATAAGCATATGAAAGGACATTCGACATCACTAATGTTTAGGAAAAATGCAAATCAAAAATACAATGAAATACCACCTCACACCCAATAGGATGGCTACCATTAAAAAGAAACTCAAAAAATATGCATTGGCAAGGATGTATAGAAATCAAATCTTCATTGGTGGGAATGTAAAACTGCACAGCCTACGGAAAACATGGCAATTCCTCCTAAAATTAAACATGGAATTACCACATGACCCAGCAATTCCCCTCCTCAACATATACCCAAAGGAATTGAAAGTAGGAACTAGAAAAGATATTTGCACATTCACCTTCACAGCAGCATTATTTCCAGTTACCAAAAGGTAGAAGCAACCCACGTACCCTTCAGGGGAGGAATGGATAAACAAAATGATCAGAATGCACATTCTGCTCCCTTTGGGTCCCCGTGTTGCTTCCCTACAGGAGGAGGACGTGCTGGCCCAGGGAACCCCATGCTGGTGGGCCTGATCTGGAGTCTCTTTCCCTCCCTCCCCTCAGGCACTGTGCCATTTGCAGGGAAACTGCGCAGCCTGCCTCCCCACAAAAAGCCTGGGTGCAGTGGGGAGACCAGCGAGGGCCCTGCAGCGGTGGGTGTCTGTGTTGGGGTTTCACAGTGCCCAGGGCGTGGGGAGGAGGTCCCCCCAGAAGAGGCCGGGAGAGGATGTGACAGGAAGGTCACCGGATCAGAGGATAAACAAGCTGTGAGCTGAACATTGATAGGAGGGGCGCTGGGGACAAGTGTGGGGAGGAGCTGGAGAGCCCCTCAGGTGTAGCTAGGGACCTGAACCATTACCACCCGTGAGCTTGCTGCAGGGCACGTGATGAAAGCAATAAGAAGATTTGTTACATGAATAAATGAAGTTGCTTTTTTAAAAAACTTTGGGTTCACAGTGTTTGTAATGTACAATGTGGTGTTTTGCCCATTTACTCAAGCCAAATGTTAGGGTGCTATAGTGCCATAGTCTAGCCCTCTTTGTGCAAGTTTAATATAAGAAGTCAGCACTAAAAATGCTTTTCTAAAAGAATCTCATATGTTATAAATAGGATTTCTTAAAAACAGAAAGTGTTAGATAATGGCACCTTTACAGCGGAGAAACCTGGTGCGCACATCTTGGAGTGAAGGCTCAAACTTAACTTTCCCAATACTGGATCAGACGGCTACGTTGAGAGGCTCTGAGAAGGACACCAGCCCCTTGCTCTTGGAAACACAAAAGGAAGGAATTGGGGTGAAGTGGCGTGGTGTCTGCAGTGTGCTTTCAAAGGGTTCAAATTGTGCTCAGATAGCGAGGAAGAGAGCAGGCCACTCTGCAGAATGTAGACAACGGAGTCTAGGTGAAGGGCACATTTGCTCACTGATTTATTCTTCCAAGTCTGCTCTAGGTTTGAAATGTTCCAAATGGAGACTCGAGGGGAGGGGATAGAGAATGCTCCTGGGAATTGAGGCCCCTGATGAGGTAGGACAGCCCAGGAAGCTCTGATTTGGAGACTGTACCCTGACAGGTGTGCAGACCAAGCACTCCACAAGCTGGTGACACACACCCCTTCTTTCACCCAGCCTCTGCCCTGCAGCAACTCCATCCGGGTACACGTCTTCCAGGAGCTCAGTCTGCCTCCAGCCCGTCCTCCATCCCACTTCCTTTGCTTGCTGTCTGCCGTGAGGCCCACGGGCACTTCGGACTGACCACCCTGACGTTTGTGCTCCTTTCTTTGGAATTCTAACTAGCCCTATCTCAGGTCAGTTTGGGGCAGTCCTTTGCAGGAATTCCCTTTCCACTGCTGTTGGAGGGACTCCAGCAGGGGCTCGCCCCAACGGAACACACACACGAACACACATATCCTACTGGTTCTGTTTCTCTGGAAATCCCTGGCTGACGCCACCGCCATGCTCCCGTAACTCTGTAACTCTGGGGTGCACCCTGCTCTGCAGCACTAGAGAGGAAGCCTGAAGCAACTATTTTTCAAAAGAACTGCATGCAGATGTGTAGCCTACAGGCAGGAAGCCAAACTCTGCATGGAGGTTAACTGGAAATGTAGATGCAAGTGATTAACTACCTCCTGTGTTCTTCCTAAAACAGCAAGGCGGTATGTTTTGAAGGGTCAAAGCCCTGAGGTGGCGGCACACTGAACTTCCCGCGGGGAGGACTGGAGATTTCCACAGTAAAGCATCCTGTGTAGCCGCGTCTCGTCCACGCAGCAGGGTCACCACGATCCCAGAGGTCAGGCACTTACCCTTGGCGTGGGCAGCACCTCCTGCTGCACTGTCTGCCGCAGAGGCCCTGCGTTCGTGGGCTGTGCGGCCATCCCAGCCACGACACTGCAGGGTGAGTCCCACTGGCTCCCTTCCTGAAGGGCTGTCTCCCTAGCAACTCACCCCCAAGCCTGCCATAAACCCAAGCGCCATGGCCAGCAGTGATGCAGACGGAAAAGCCGGAAAAGCCGCAGCTCTCCTCCCACCTGTCAAGGCTGCTGCGGGGGCTCGCCAAGACATGAGAAAACGCTGGGCTGCCGGAAACCACAGTCTACCACAACAGCCAGCAGACGCGGCAGCCATTGAGAGAGGAACAGCACAACTCCAGTAGACGAACGGAATCCAAATGGAATAAGCACCCAAAGGCTCAAGAAATCCTGGTCCAGACAGCATTATATTTCATGCGAAATTTCCTATCAGTTTTAAGCACCTCCCATTGTTTCCTCTAGATGCAAATTACTGTCCCCAGCTTCCTGAGGTGGCACAGGAAGCATCCAGACAGACAGAGAGGCAGACAGGCCTCAAGCTTTGCTGAGCAGTGCTGTCCCACCGGCCACCATGCTGTGACCCTGCCTGGCGGTCTTGCCCCTTTCCTGATTCAGAGTCTTCCCTACTCTCAAATAGATGACACAGCTGCAATGCTTCCCAACTTCCCATAAATCCAGGTTGGCAAGAGCTAGAAGGAGCGGCCCAGCGAACGGTGCCTGCTGGTCCAGGAAAGCACAGTCGACAGCTGTCTGTTCTGTCTGAGTGACTGCATTCCTCCCAGCCATGCAAATGCATACTGTTAAATATTAGATGGTCTCAGTCTGTTCAGGCTGCTTGCCAAAATACCATAAACCGAGTGGCTCAGAAACAATAGAAACGTATTTCTCACAGTTCTGGAGGCTGGAAGTCCAAGATCAAGGTGCCCGCAGACCTGGCGTCGGGTGAGGGCCCCTCCCTTGGTTATAAATGGCCCCTCCTCGCTGGGTCCTCGCGTGGTCAAGGGAAGCACCTTGGTTTCTTCGTCCCGTAGGTGTGAGCTCACCATGCAGCTCTGCCCTCGAGATCTCACACTCCCGCAGGCCCACCTCCTGCTGCGTCACGCTGGGACCAGGATCTAGACACGTGAATTTGGAGGGACCCGAACACTCAGGCTACCGCACAGATGCAGAGCTAAGAGTGTAGAAGGGTGATCGCCCTTAACCCTCACGGCAGGCCCACAGGAACCATTATCCATTACGGACGAGGAATCAGACTCAGAAAAGTGTGAGCACACAGACAGCTGGCTCTGCGCGCCGGCAGCATCGCAGCCAACCAAGTCTGTCTAAGGCGCTGTCATTGCTAATTGAAAAGTTCTCCTAACACCCCGCCATGACGACTTGAAATACAGCTGGCATTGGCAATTTTTGACAATCTCTATAGAGACTGAATAAAAAAAATAAAGAAAAAAGTAAGAAAGAATGAAAAAAACATAGATGGCTAATGCCTCACGGCCCTAAGTGATGGCAGATTCCAATGCATTCTCTCAAACCCCCACCCGACCTGTCTCATCAACAGCCCCAGAGTGAGGGAGATCTTCCCAGCTGGCTTACAAGCTGTGACTGGAGATTCTTTGGCATTGTTTGGCATCACATAGCAGGAAAGGTTCCAGGACCACCTAGAGTATTCGGGTTCCAGGTTGTGATTATTTACATCATCCAGGACAAACTGTTCTATTGCTACAGATTTATAAGGATTAAGATTTCCAAAGATTCCATAACTTCTCTTGTGACCTAGGGATCTTATTCTAAAACCATATCATGGTCAAGAAATTTTTCCTATAAAATTTGTATTGCCAATTTAAATATACAACAATAGAAATTCACTTAAATAAACTACAGTGTATTCATATGCAATAGTATTATGCAATCTTTAAAAATTATGACATACATTATTTTAATATATTTTGTTAAATAAAAAAGCATGTCACAAAGCATTGCATACTCTGATCTCAAATATTTAAAGTGGTATATAAACGCAGACATGTATATATCAATATAATGTCTATTATAAGTATATGAAGTTCATACAAAATATTAATATAATTTTGCTACATAGAAGATAACATTAGGCAGGGTGCAGTGGCTCATGCCTGTAATCCTAGCACTCTAGGAGGCCGAGGCTGGTGGATTGTTTGAGCTCAGGAGTTCAAGACCAGGCTGAGCAAGAGCAAGACCTCATCTCTACTAAAAATAGAAAAAATTTAAAATTAGCTGGGCATGGTGGTGCATACCTGTAGTCCCAGCTACTCAGGAGGCTGAGGCAGAAGGATTGCTTGAGCACAGGAGTTTGAGGTTGCTGTGAGCGAGGCTGACACCACAGAACTCAAGCCGGGGCAACACAGTGAGACTCTGTCTCCCAAAAAAAAAAGGAAAACAACCCTGTTATAAAACACAAACTGTGCTCCTGAGTATGTAGAACAGTTGCATGGCATATACGTGTTGAGAGAGATAGTCTGCCATGAGTCCCTCACACCCCTAAACATCTTACAAGTGTACCAAGAAGGGGAGCCCTCACCACTCTTGGCCCAGCCATGCTCATGTTTGCAGCAAGCATCACTGAGGAATGAGAGAAGTCCCCGCTGGGACAAAGAGCAAGCTTGCTTACTTCTTGTTACAAAAGCAGCAGCTTCTCCCAGGCTGGAATTCCTCTCCTGTAGCATCACTCACTGCCTTTGCAAATGTCATCTGGGCACTCTGTGTCAGCTCCAGGGGACTTGGGGGCAAGAGGAACTGACATAAACATGTTGATGGTCAGCCTGCTTGCTGCGCTATAATAATGTCATTTGTCTCGGAACCAGGGGGTCTTGTGTCTTCTGTCAGGCAGGATCCATGAAAGACTAACGGGTAAAATCAAACACCAGACCCAACTATCTACTCATATATAATTATGAATAATTGTGGGTATATGTATATAAACAAATATGGTGATCTCCAGATGATAGGGTCACAAGTGATTTTTTTGTCTTATGCTTATTTTCCACATTTTTAGAATATGTATTATTTGTAATCAGAAACAAAGCAATACATGTACTTTTA